AAATCCTAGTTCTAAATCCTAGTTCTAAATCCTAATTCTAGATCCTAATTTTAAATCCTAATTCTAAATCCTAATTCTAATCCTAATTCTAAATCCTAATTCTAAATCCTAATTCTAAATCCTAATTCTAAATCCTAATTCTAAATCCTAATTCTAAATCCTAATTCTAAATCCTAATTCTAAATCCTAATTCTAAATCCTAATTCTAAATCCTAATTCTAAATCCTAATTCCAAATCCTAATTCTAAATCCTAATTCTAAATCCTAATTCTAAATCCTAATTCTAAATCCTACTTCTAAATCCTAGTTCTAAATCCTAATTCTAAATCCTAATTCTAAATCCTAATGCTAAATCCTAATGCTAAATCCTAATGCTAAATCCTAATGCTAAATCCTAATGCTAAATCCTAATGCTAAATCCTACTGCTAAATCCTAATTCTAAATCCTAATGCTAAATCCTAATTCTAAATCCTAATTCTAAATCCTAATTCTAAATCCTAATTCTAAATCCTAAATCTAAATCCTAATTCTAAATCCTAATTCTAAATCCTAATTCTAAATCCTCATTCTAAATCCTAATTCTAAATCCTAATTCTAAATCCTAATTCTAAATCCTAATTCTAAATCCTAATTCTAAATCCTAATTCTAAATCCTACTTCTAAATCCTAATTCTAAATCCTAATTCTCAATCCTAATTCTAAATCCTAATTCTAAATCCTAATTCTAAATCCTAATTCTAAATCCTAATTCTAAATCCTAAATCTAAATCCTAATTCTAAATCCTAATTCTAAATCCTAATTCTAAATCCTAATTCTAAATCCTAATTCTAAATCCTAAATCTAAATCCTAATTCTAAATCCTAATTCTAAATCCTAATTCTAAATCCTAATCCTAAATCCTAATTCTAAATCCTAATTCTAAATCCTAATTCTAAATCCTAATTCTAAATCCTAAATCCTAATTCTAAATCCTAATTCTAAATCCTAATTCTCAATCCTAATTCTAAATCCTAATTCTAAATCCTAATTCTAAATCCGAATTCTAAATCCGAATTCTAAATCCGAATTCTAAATCCTAATTCTAAATCCTAATTCTAAATCCGAATTCTAAATCCGAATTCTAAATCCGAATTCTAAATCCGAATTCTAAATCCGAATTCTAAATCCTAATTCTAAATCCTAATTCTAAATCCTAATTCTAAATCCTAATTCTAAATCCTAATTCTAAATCCTAATTCCAAATCCTAATTCTAAATCCTAATTCTAAATCCTAATTCTAAATCCTAAATCCTAATTCTAAATCCTAATTCTAAATCCTAATTCTAAATCCTAATTCTAAATCCTAATGCTAAATCCTAATTCTAAATCCTAATTCTAAATCCTAATGCTAAATCCTAATGCTAAATCCTAACTCTAAACCCCTAATTCTAAATCCTAATTCTAAATCCTAATTCTAAATCCTAATTCTAAATCCTAATTCTAAATCCTAATGCTAAATCCTAATGCTAAATCCTAATTCTAAATCCTAATGCTAAATCCTAATGCTAAATCCTAAATCTAAATCCTAATTCTAAATCCTAATTCTAAATCCTAAATCTAAATCCTAAATCTAAATCCTAATTCTAAATCCTAAAATCCTAAATCTAAATCCTAAATCTAAATCCTAATCTAAATCTAAATCCTAAATCTAAATCCTAAATCTAAATCCTAAATCTAAATCTTAATCTGAATCTAAACCTCTAATCTAATCGTCTAATCTGTATCTGTCTATCTGTTTGTTTGTCTGTCTGTCTATCTATTTACTTATCTAATATATCATATCCAATCTATCTATTTGTTTGTCTGTCTATCTATCTATCTATCTATCTATCAATCTATCAATCTATCAATCTATCAATCTATCAGCCAATCTCATATATCTACATAATCTATCTATTTATTTGTTTGTCTATTTGTCTATCAAACTAGTCTAATCTTCTCTGATCTTATCTAATCTAAGCTAAGCTAATCTAATCCAACCTCTCTAATCTTTCAAGTCTGTCTATTAATCTATCTAATCTATCTAATCCACCTAGTCTACCTTTTCTATCTGATCTATCTAATATGCCTACTCTATCCAAGTGACCTTACCTATCTATTCTATCTAAATAATCTACATGAAAGCAAAGCAGAGAAAAAAAAACAGTTTCTCTTGAAACAAATTCCATTGCGGTCCTATCCTGTACAGTACTCTGACTGATGCAGGTTTCATGGAGTTTCCATGGAGTTTCCATGCAGTTTCCATGCAGGTTTCATGTTGGTTACATGCTGGGTTTGCTGATTTAGCTTACTGGTGTGTAACCTCCATGGCAACTCCCTCGAACCTGCATGGAATCTGCATGGAACCTCCATGGAACCTGCATCAGGCAGAGTGCATGGTAAAACCAACAAGTGTAGATAGAGGCATCACCTCCATAACGCACATGGAAACTGCATGAAATCTACATCAATTCTCCATGGAACCTGCATGGAACCTCCATGAAAACTGCATCAGTTAGAAGGCGCCATGCAACCATCACGTTTAGACACAAGAAACAACGGAACCTACATGAAACCTCCATGAAACCTACATCAATTCTCCATGGAACCTGCATGGATACTCCATCAAAGAAGCGCCATACAAGCACCAGGTGTAGATACAGGGAACAGAGACTTTTTTTTAGTGGACACTACGTGGAAACCATCAGACGCTTTGACGCAAATTGATCGCAAATCGATCGTAAATCGATCGTAAACTGATCGTAAAAAAACGCACAAAAACTGTCATAGCATCTGTGCATTTTGATGTCGTTTTCACTAGGTCATCTGTCTTTGTTGATGTCCCTTTTTGTTTCTGCACTGGAAAAGTCAATTTCTTCCAGAGTTTCTATTTATCCTGAGTGTTCACTGCTTGGTGGTTTCGATTTTGGCAAGGTTTCAAATGTGAATTTTTGTTTGATGTCATTTTGATGGAGTTTTATGTCTGTCTCGGTGTCAACTTGATGGAGGTTCCTAACATATAATATTGCAAACTAAGTTAATTAAAAGACGAAACCACCAAGAGAAATGAACTCACTTATGTCATCTTGGATTCTATGATCACCAAACCATATGAATATATGAATTGGCAAGTGCCGTTTTCTACAGGCCTTAGGTTCTTGTCGATGTCATATTGATGTTGTTTTATGGCCTTCTTATTCGTTTTTAGGCCGATGTCAAATCGATCGACAAAGGATCGCAAAATGATCGCAAAACAACGTCGAAATCCTACATCAAAATGACACATTACAAAGTCCACACTTGAAACCCTGGCCTTGCCAACATCAAAACCGCCAAGCAACGAACACTCAGGATAAATAGAAATTCTGGAAGAATTTGACTTTTCCAGTACAGAAACCAAAAGAAACATCAGCAAAGACAGATGGCCTAGTGAAAACGACATCAAAACGCACAGATGCTATAACAGTTTTTGTGCGATCAATTTAGTTACGATCGATTTGCGATCGATTTGCATCAAAGCGTCTGATGGTTTCCATGTAGTTTCCATTTAAAAAAAACTCGAACATGTTCCCTGTATCTACACCTGATGATTGTATGGCGTCTTCCTTGATGGAGTATCCACGCAGGTTCCATGGAGAATTGATGTAGGTTTCATGGAGGTTTCATGTAGGTAACCGTTGTTTCTTGTGTCTAAACGTGATGGTTGCATGGCGCCTTCTAACTGATGCAGTTTTCATGGAGGTTCCATGCAGGTTCCATGGAGAATTGATGTAGAATTTCATGCAGTTTCCATGTGCGTTATGGAGGTGATGCCTCTATCTACACTTGTTGGTTTTATCATGCACTCTGACTGATGCAGGTTCCATGGAGGTTCCATGCAGATTCCATGCAGGTTCCAGGGAGTTGTCATGGAGGTTACCCACCAGTAAGCTAAATTTGCAAACCCAGCATGTAACCAACATGAAACCTGCATGGAAGCTCCATGGAAAATCCATGAAACCTGCATCAGTCAGAGTACAGGATAGGACCACACGGTTTCAAGAAACTGTCTTTCCCCCATTTCAAAAAAAATAGACAAGTACAGAAAAATGCACTAGAATTCAATAATCAATTAAACAATCACGTGAAATTATTGGACATTAAATAAGTGTACATTTTCCGAGATACAAGATGAATATCAATTCAAAAACAAACCTAATCTGGTAGCAATCATCGTTGTTTTAAATTTGTTTTCTTTATTTTCAACGACTTCATTGTTTGCAGGGTTTGATATTTTTTGTTTTTTCTAAGTTTACAAAACCATCAATTCCCAGACTTCCAAACCACCAACCCAAACCACCACGTAAGCACAAGTTGAAGTAAGATCTCATTGAGCAAGCATCGTCTCCTGCAAATTGGCCTTTCAGAAAAGAGCCCGCATATGCCCGCATTGTTTTCACAGGGGCCCTTTTTCCGCGCTTTGCCAAACCAACAAACTCATCAGAGGTCTTTTGACCGAGTATCGTTTCAAAAATACCGAAAAACATATGTTTCACATGTCTTTGGTTGGATGGGGAACCCCAAAAGATCGAGTCTTGCATTTTTTTTGTATTGTTTTTCTTGGGCAAGGACCTGTCAACTGTGGTTTTTCCATATGTGTGAGCTTTGGTGAGCAGGAACCTTTGACAGCAAATTTCCCAGCAATGATTTCTGCCAAGGCAGCGCAAAAAAAAACGGAAACGATGGTAGGACTTGTCTTGAGGGACGTTCCTAGAAGACTTCTTATTTTCAATTCGTAGCAGTGCAAAGATCCGCTGTTAACGATAAAAAAAAACTTTTATTCTTTCTGTAGCAATAGTCTCAACACCTGTCAGCCAATTGTGGAAGTGACACGTGGTTGCTGGTTTTCATGCAGCTAGTCCATGATCCCATGCCCATCCATGCCCTCTCTTATCGGAATGCCCCTGTGATTCCCCGCGCATACTTCAGAGCCACTGTTCTATGTGGAAATTCCGGCAGGACCTCGACCGGCTGGCATACCTGATTTTCACCAGCGGCAGTACTGGCAAGCCGAAGGCCGTGATGATTCGACATGCCTCGGCCTTGAACGTGGCGCGCGTGTGGAGTGCAGCCATTGGACTGTGCAACTCGGATCGCTTTGCACAGATTTCCTCGATGTCCTGGGATGTTCACGTCATAGAGATCTATGGTGCAATGGCTGTTGGGGCGACAAGTGTCACCTGTCCCGACCTGGTAAAGCAGTCTGGTCCGGACATGCTTCTGTGGCTGAGACATAAGCAGGTCACAGGCATCAGTGCGGTCCCATCATACTTGCGCACCATGGTACCTGTTGCTGGCAGCGATGTGTCAATGGACGTCAATCTCCCACAGCTCCGCATTGTCGATGTGGGTGGTGAGGCTTTGGGTGCAGATGTGGTCTCGACTTGGGCTCCTGGCCGTCTCCTGTTCAACAGCTATGGGCCGACAGAGATTTCAGTGGTTTGCACAGGCATTGACGTGCGGCCGGGTGATCCCATTACTCTTGGCCCCGCTTTGCCCGGCTATCAGTGCCACATTTTGGACCCCAACACCTTTGCAATGAAGGCTGTTGGGGAGGTTGGCGTCCTTTTCGTGGGTGGTGTAGGCTTGGCTCGTGGCTATCTTGGTGAAGAAGGGCAGACCAATCAGAAGTTCATTGAACTCCCTGAACTTGGCCGACTCTTCAACACAGGAGATCTGGCGTTCAAAGACGACGAAAACCGCTTGCATTTTCGTGGCCGGGTGGATTCCCAGGTGTGGAAAAGCTTGTTTCGCTTTTCTTTCCCAAATGCGTAGCGAAGGGTCCGAAGGGTTCTCGCTTTCTTGCTTGGGGGTCTGGGGGTAGTGTCTTGTTCCCTCGCGGGTCTCTAGTCACTAGTCGACCCCTCGCTGTTCCTATATGGGAAGTGCTGCAAAACGTGTCATGTTGACAGTGTGGAATGTCGCTAGAGTGTGTTGCAAGAGTATCAAGAGATTCTTGCAAGAGTTTCGAAGAGTGTCTTGCAAGGGTTTCTTCGAAGAGTGTCTTGCAAGAGCATCTAGCAAGAGTGCTTGGAAGAGTGTCTCACCAGTGTGTGTTTCAAGAGTGTCTTTAACGAGCGTCCCACAAGAGTGTCTTCTAGGGTTGTTCCTCAAGGGTGTCTTTCAAGAGTGTTCTGCACCTCACATGCGCGCGTTGAAAGGGTGCATTCGGTTTCGTGGATTCTGTCAGGTGTTTTCTCAATACATCTTGCAGGCATGGTAAGCTAAGTCAGGTTGAGAATCGTTGATCCCGACAAAATCTTTGGGAATTTCCAATACTTTTCACAGGTGAAGGTGCGTGGCCTTCGGATCGAGTTGGAGGCCTTGGAGGCTGCCATCATGGACTTGGGGACTGTGAAGCATTGTGAGGCTCGGGTGTTGGATGGTCGCCTCGTACTCTTGGCATCTGGTTCTGGTTCCTTCCTTGAGGCTGAGCTGAAAGCCAAAGCTATGTCCTTGGGTCGTGGCTATGTCCTCAGTCAAGTGAAGCTGGTTGAGGACAGCGCTTGGAAGTTCAGTAGCGGTGGCAAGCTCCTGCGAAATGTGGTTCCATGGAGTGACAACGATGGCTGGGATGCTTTGGACTCTTTCCACCGAGTTGGTGCAAGTGCTCTTGAACTGGAGATTGCGGCGTGTGTAGCATTGCAAGTGAGAGGTGCTGAGTATTGGGACCGAAATTCACATTTTGTGGATGACCTGGGAATCGATTCTGCCGGCATGGGGCAGCTCTTGGGACAGATGCGAAGCAAAACCAAGCTGCAGAAAGTGGATCTGCGTGCGCTTTTTAATCATCCCACAGTCAGCACGCTGGCCTCATTCTTGTCTGAGCCTGAGTCCGATCCAGAAGAAGAGCCCTTTGATGGGGAGCAGACAGGGCAGAACTTAGTCAGTGCCATTTGGAAAAGTGTGCAGACCAAGCCACACAGCATTTGCTGCGAATTGCCATCCTCCTGTCTCAGCTATACGCAACTCTTTCGCTTGGCCACAGCTTTTCGGCAACTGCTGCGCAGAAATAGGACCACCACGAGTTGCAAAACAACACCAGTGGCCATTTGCGTGGACATGATGACCGAGCGAATGGCTGCAATGCTGGCAGTGCTCATGGAGGGTCATGCCTTTTGCGTCCTGGATGAAGGCCATGGGTTTGCTGACCAGTTGCAAGCCTTTGACGCTCAGTGCATATTGGCAAGCTCCAAGGATGTTGTTTGGGCACGACTACAAGAAATTTGCTACGAAGTTCAGGAATTGCAGTGCATCGATGTGAGCAGTGCTTCCTTACCATTGCAAGTTCGTGTGAAGTTGCCGGCCATAGATCCAGATGATGTTTGCTTTCAGTATGTACATGAAGATCTGGAAGGACATGATGAAAGTGTTTCTGGAGGCCAGACAGCTCTGACAGTTCTGACGGCTTCGCATCGTGCGATTCTGGAGCTGTTGGATGCCTGGCCCGAGCTCCAGCGAGCGCGAGCGGCTTCGCTGCCTGCGACTGCAAACCTCGCAGTGCTGAAGATCCTCATGAGTGGTGGAGCTTTGGTGGACAGAGACAGCGTAGAGACATTGCTTTGCAACGAGTCAGGCCTGAATGGACAGGTCCCTTGGTTGAGCCATTCTTTCAACATTTTCAGGATTGAGATTTTGGTTTGTTTCCCAACTTTTAACATCCAGGCTTCAAAATACAGGAGAAGATTTATGTGTTTGGGCCATTAAGCAAGCGAGGCTTTCACGTCGTTGCCTGTGCTTGTTGGCCAGAAAAGGCGCCTTGTAGTGACAGCGGGTCAGGGGGCAAGTGCCGCGAGGGACTCCCTTGTTCGCCGAACCCGCGACATGATGACAGCTTCATCGCTGTTTCCAGGCCTTTTGGGAGCGGCGGCGACTCACAGCTTTGGTGAGAAGAGTTGGCCAAATTTTTGTGCCTGGGCGCAGGGAAGCATCATTCTGCTAGAGCCTGTGCTTATGGCAACTCGAATGATGTTGGCAGAACGGGTCTTGTTGCCACTGACCTTTGCCATACCTTTGTGGCAAACCTTTTTGCTGCTCTGGGCCGTCATCATTTGTGAGAAGATCCTTCGAGTCATTCTTTTGTTGGCTGCTAAGTGGATGCTCATTGGACGATACCAGGAGGCAAAACATGACATTTACAGTTTGTTTTACTTGCGGCATTGGCTGGTGGAGCGTATTGCAGAGGGCACCATCATTGGTACTGCAACACCTCCAGGAACCAGCGTGGCCCACCACTTTCTGCGGAACCTGGTGCTGAGAGCCCTTGGTGCAGATGTGGCACTGACCTCTATGATCTTCACACGTGTTGTGGCTTTCGATCTTGTTTCGGTGGGCCATTTGGCCACAGTGAATGGCTTGAAGCACCTTACTGCTGTGAACTATGGAGAGGGGAAGATGGTGTTGAAGTCCATTTCGGTTGGCCAAGGCGCTTTTGTTGGCGCTAACGCTGTTCTGGAGCCAGGATGTTCCGTTGCTGCAGCAGCCCATGTGGAAGCCTTGTCCATGGTTCCTGCTGGCTCCAAAGTGTCAAGCCGAGTTTCTGGCGTTCCAGCTCAGGTCGTGAATTGCGATGCAGCTGTGGCAAACCCCCGTAGCATTCCTTTGGATGCAGACGTGCGCCAGTTCTGCAGAAATGCAGCCCTCATAGCCTCCACTTACTGGCTCATGGTGGTGCCGCAGGCCCTGATGCCTTTCATCATCATCATGATCTTTCAGCTCGAGGCGAAGCTAGAGTACCAAGCAGATTCAGAGAAGGAATTGGAACGCTTCGATTCCTTGCCCGAAGGTGTCCTCAGATTCTTGCCACAGCTTCCACTTTGGAGCTTTGCTTTTACTGTGCTGATTCTGGCTCTGCAGCTTCTTTTGACCGTTTTGATTTGCCGACTGCTTCCCACAGTAAAGCCACCCTGTAGCTACTTGCTGACCAGCATCCGGGGCCAGATGGTCTCCCTGAAGATGCGGTGGGTCAACCAGGCCTCCAACTTGCTGAGAGATGCTTCGATAGTGCCAGTCTTCATGCGTATGTGTGGTGCTCGTTTTGGCCGAGGAGTTGCCATAGCCGAAGAAGTCGTGCTGCCTGACACATTGGTGGTGGGAAATGGTTGTTTCATTGCTTCCCGGAACATCCTCACCAGCGCGACGGTGGACCAGGGTCACTTCAGAGTTCCTTGCGTCACAAACCTTGGTCACTTGACGTGTTGATACGTTTTCTGGGAGCGAGCGTCCTATTTGTTATTTTCCTGAAAAAGCACGTGCGATGGGTTGTTTGTAAAGACCAGCCCCCCAAGAAAATCGTTTTACATACGTCTTCTCATCATCCTAATCACCCTCACTCTCATCCTCACTCTCATCGTCACTCTCCACCGATATCGAAAGGCAAAGACATCTACGCCAAAGTTTTGTCTGATTGGCCAGAGATTCCAGTCACCCTTGTGGTGGACGGCCCCTGTGCGACAGTGGCAGGAACCAATCGAGAGTCCAGCAACTAACTCCCTTCAAGGTGTCTCATCCTCACCCTCATCACCCTCATCACCAATTATCGTTATTATCCTCGCATCATCCTCATCATTGTTAAAACATAGTCATCACCACCATCATCGTGTTCGTCATCACCAACGTCATCACCCTCATCACATTCCCATCCCCGGCTCCCCCATTGGGACTGTTTCTCTTCGGGATGGTCATGTGGGGGAGCAGTTTGGTTTCGATTGTGATTCATGTCCAACCTCGAATGGGGTACAGATGGTTACAGTACCTGTCCAAATTTGATGAAATTTGCGGTATCAAGGTGACCACAGCTTTGTGGGGAACGACAACTGCTTGCCTGCGGGCCTGCCAGAGGGCAGCTTCTGTGGTCTCAATACATCGCTACCAAAAAGGCCACAGCAGACAAATTTGGGCTACTTTGGAACTCCGGCGATGATCTTCAAACGCCCCAGCAAGGACGGCCCACAGGAAGCGACGAGTCTACCAGCTTTTTGCTGGTTTCACTTCAGCACCAGTGTGATTGACATCTTCATCCTCCGGGGCTTGAAGGGCATGGTGCTTTCAGCTTCATTTGTGACGAGCAGGTACTACTTCCCTGCAACCACAAACGCTTCGGTTCTTGGAGTCCTATTCATGGTGATGCTGATATACCTCACTATGAACGTCACATCCTGGCTCGTCTTTTCTGTGATCTTTGGCAGGCTCTTGTACAATGAAACTACCCCAACCAGCAGTGCTTACCACTCCACGACAGTCACGCGGTGGTTCACATCTATCATGCTCCAAAAACATATTTAAGGGCTGCCGCCCCTGCCGCCGACCCCGGAAGGCCAGAGACTTCGGACAAAGTGATATAGTCGGTGGATTACCAACGTCACAAGATTGACCTAAATATTCTTCAGTGCTTCGCACTTTCAGGCTTTCCCCCTTGTTTATATGTATATTTTCCCAAACCCCTTCACCCCCCTGAGCAGTTCCTCGACGACTTCAACCAGAGTCTGGGTCTTGAGCTCGTGAATTATTAAATAAACCTTCCCATTAACCCCCCTCCTTCTGTGGCAAGGTGCAGTGTTGTGCCATGGCAAGGCGTAGACACGAAGTAAGACACACAGTAGGCATAGCATCCAGTATTTCCGGCACCAATAGTTCAGGTATTCTATTCAAATTATAGGGATTTGGTATCGCAGCTTTTTATGTAGTCCAGGATCAGGACCTTGTCCTTGGAGTTCTACAAATATGTGTAGCTTAGTTTCACTTGAATAAAAAGGACTCCAGATTTTTGTCCTTGGACATTTCTTACCATGACTTCTGTCCTTGCAATTTGATGGACTTTGGCTGGTATGTATGTACGCAACGTAACGTTATGTAGTGTAATGTACTGTACTGTAAACGTACTGTAAATGTATTGTCTTTGTATTGTTATATCAGCCCCTGTTACTTTTTGCTTGTGCTCACCGCATTTTACGGTAAAATTATGGTTCCCGCAAATGTTGCCAAATTTTGGCTACAGAGGTCAAATAATGCATACGGACATCAAAAAACAAGGTTAACCGCAAATGTCAGCAAATAGACCCAGCATTTGATTCACAGGTATGATATATAGCTACGTACTTTTTTCTCCTGCTGCTGAAGACGCTCCTACTGCTGCTGCTGCTGCTGCTGCTGCTGCTGGTGGCTAGCTACGACGCCTAAAAGCGAACCACTCCCAGCGGCAAATCCCCATGGCAGTGAAGGATGGAAAAGTTTCGAAATTGCACCGCAAAAATGCCTAACGTAACTTCTGAAACCCAAAGAAAATGATGATTTGTTTAGCTACTTTTTCTCCTGCTGGTGAAGACGCTCCTACTGCTGCTGCTGCTGCTGCTGGTGGCTAGCTGCGACGCCTAAAAGCGAACCACTCCCAGCGGCAAATCCCCATGGCAGTGAAGGACGGAAAAGCTCCAAAATTGCACCTCAAAAATGCCTTTAATTGATGATTTTAGCTACTTTTTTCTCCTGCTGCTGAAGACGCTCCTGCTGCTGCTGCTGCTGCTGGTGTCTAGCTGCGACACCTAAAAGCGAACCACTCCCAGCGGCAAATCCCTATGGCAGTGAAGGACGGAAAGGCTCCGAAATTGCACCGCAAAAATGCCTAACGTAACTTCTGAAACCCATAGAAAATGATGATTTTAGCTACTTTTTTCTCCTGCTGCTGAAGACGCTCCTGCTGCTGCTGCTGCTGGTGGATAGCTGCGACGCCTAAAAGCGAACCACTCCCAGCGGCAAATCCCCATGGCAGTGAAGGACGGAAAAGCTTCGAAATTGCACCTCAAAAATGCCTAACGTAACTTCTGAAACCCATAGAAATGATGATTTTAGCTACTTTTCTCCTGCTGGCTGCTGAAGACGCTCCTACTGCTGCTGCTGATGCTGCTGCTGCTGCTGGTGGCTAGCTGCAACGCCTAAAAGCGAACCACTCCCAGCGGCAAATCCCCATGGCAGTGAAGGACGGAAAAGCTTCGAAATTGCACCTCAAAAATGTCCAAATGTAACTTCTGAAACCCATAGAAAATGATGATTTTAGCTATTTCTTTCTCCTGCTGCTGATGCTGCTGCTGCTGCTCCTGCTTCTGCTGCTGCTGCTGCTGGTGGCTAGCTGCGACGCCTAAAAGCGAACCACTCCCAGCGGCAAATCCCCATGGCAGTGAAGGATGGAAAAGTTTCGAAATTGCACCTCAAAAATGCCTAATGTAACTTCTGAACCCATAGAAAATGATGATTTTAGCTACTTTTTTCTCCTGCTGCTGATGCTGCTGCTGCTGCTGGTGCACCGAAATTAGACTTCAAAAGTGCTGCTGCTGGTGGCTAGCTGCGACGTCTAAAAGCGAACCACTCCCAGCGGCAAATCCCCATGGCAGTGAAGGACGGAAAAGCTCCGAAATTGCACCTCAAAAATGCCTAATGTAACTTCTGAAACCTATAGAAAATGATGATTTTAGCTACTTTTTTCTCCTGGTGCTGAAGACGTTCCTACTGCTGCTGCTGCTGCTGCTGGTGTCTAGCTGCGACGCCTAAAAGCGAACCACTCCCAGCGGCAAATCCCCATGGCAGTGAAGGACGGAAAGGTTCCGAAATTGCACCGCAAAAATGCCTAACGTAACTTCTGAAACCCATAGAAAATGATGATTTTAGCTACTTTTTTCTCCTGCTCCTGAAGACGCTCCTATACTACTGCTGCTGCTGCTGCTGGTGGCTAGCTGCGACGCCTAAAAGCGAACCACTCCCAGCGGCAAATCCCCATGGCAGTGAAGGACGGAAAAGCTTCGAAATTGCACCTCAAAAATGCCTAATGTAACTTCTGAAATCCATAGAAAATGATGATTTCAGCTACTTTTTTCTCCTGCTGCTGAAGACGCTCCTGCTGCTGCTGCTGCTGCTGGTGGCTAGCTGCGACGCCTAAAAGCGAACCACTCCCAGCGGCAAATCCCCATGGCAGTGAAGGATGGAAAAGCTCCGAAATTGCACCTCAAAAATGCCTAATGTAACTTCTGAAACCCATAGAAAATGATGATTTTAGCTACTTTTTTCTCCTGGTGCTGAAGATGCTCCTACTGCTGCTGCTGCTGCTGGTGGCTAGCTGCAATGCCTAAAAGCGAACCACTCCCAGCGGCAAATCCCCATGGCAGTGAAGGACGGACAAGCTTCGAAATTGCACCGCAAAAATGCCTAATGTAACTTCTGAAACCCATAGAAAATAGAAAATGATGATTTTAGCTACTTTTTTCTCCTGCTGCTGAAGACGCTCCTGCTGCTGCTGCTGCTGCTGGTGCACCGAAATTAGAGTTCAAAAGTGCCAAACGTAACTTCTGAAACCCATAGAAAATGATGATTTTAGCGATGAGTTTAGCTACTTTTTTCTCCTGCTGCTGAAGAAGCAGAAAAGCTCCGAAATTGCACATCAGAAGTGCCTAACGTAACTTCTGCAACCCAGCAGCAAATCCCCATGCTGCTGCTGCTGCTGCTGATGGCTGGCTGCAACGCCTAAAATCGAACCACTTAATAGCTGCTAGCTGCCAATCACAAAGTGCATAGCTTTGAGCACATGGCACATGCGCAATAGCCTGCTGTGTCAGAAACTCCTTTTCCCTTACGCGCTAACTCCTTTTCCCTTACGCGCTCCCCCTTGCCGAGCCGGGGTCGCGCGCATCCCCCTTTTGTCTGCCGGGGTCGGCGGAAGTGGTGTCTTATTCCCTGGCGCGCTCCCCCTTGCGTCTGCCGGGGTCGGCGGATTTTCACTTCGCCCTTTCGTACGGTGGGAAGCTGCTGGCATGCAAATCACTTCCGGCTGCGAGGTGCTCGGATTGGGAAGCGCTTCTTCTGCGTGCATGACATTGCCCTGATTGATGCACCTTTCATCTCAATCGGAGATGATGTGATCGTAGACTATGATGCAGACATCAGGTGCCACTCTTTCGAGGACCGTCAGTTGAAGTTTTCTCCGGTCAAGATTGGCAACAGAGCGAAGATCATGGCAGCAGCCAAGGTTGCCAGGAGTGACGTCGGCGAGGGGGCCGTGCTACGACCATCAAGTGTCACTTGGAAGGGCAGCAACCTTGAAGCGAACAGAGTCTATCAGGGCGCACCTGCAGTGGAAGCGTGTGCATTCAAACCATAGCCCTGGGCGCAGGTGCCTGACTGACAAGTGTTGGACCCAGGAGCTTTGACATCCCGACACTTCAATCATTTGGAGCGGAGCGTTTGAAGTGGAATTGTGAGCGGCACCGCGGGTGGCGTATAGGAGTGTGCATTTCTTTTTTTTCAACCTTTGCATTTTGTACACCCGATAGATGGGTTCAGGTGCTTGGTTTCAATTATACGTATAGACAGACTTTAGTCTGGAACCTGTATAGTGCAGAAAAGTTCTTGAGCTCCCTGGCTGACAAGTGCTGGACTCAGCAGTCTACGTCCCCACACGTTAACCGTTCGAAGTGCAACTTTTAAAGCGGAAGTGTGAAATGAACGGTGCTGCTGGAATAGGATTGCGTGTTTTTATTCGAACTTGGCATGGTGGCAATCCCATTTTATTGCAAAGATGCAGTGAAATTCTACAGGTTGGACAGAGACATAACGGACAAATCTCCTGCAGGTCTTGCATATTCTTGCATAAACACTATCTTCAGCCGGCGCAGATGAGGCTATGGGTTACGGGTTGGTGCGAGAAAGCTACTGCAATAGAGCAAAATTTCTAATCTCCAAGCATGTAGGCTTGGTAGGAAAGGAATTGGGTACATGGTGGTTGGTGAGACTGAACCTACGGGTTCCCCAGAGATTGACACCACTTTTCTGGTCAACTGTAGCGTGCTTCTGGGGGATAGAACAGACACGGTTTAAGCGCAGTCTGGAGCGCTTCTTGGCGCATTTTTTTTTCGCTTGGGAAGATATGAAGGCGATTCAGATATGGGGGTTTCTTAAGATGGAGAATCCCTAAGTCACCATGGGTGTTTCAATACTAAGTCATGGCGTAGGATGGCACCCATGAGTCTCTGGCAATTGAACATGACAATGGAAAGTCCCCCATTTAGGTCGATTCATGGATATGCTTGACGGAACACGGTGCAGTTGGATATTGTGCGGCAACAACAGCTGACAATTTCACCGCATTAGGTACAAGAGTCATTGTGGCATTTGAAGGTGCCATAAAACGTGGGCGATGCCGATCTGTTTAAAGTATCCGTTGGTTCCTTCCAAGCACCGGGCCAAGTTGGGCAGAATTCGGTGTGCCGTCCCATGGCCTAGGCACTGGCCTTTTTTGGCTCGGCTTGGCATCCCATGCTGCCAGGCGTGGCAACGGGATGGGATGGGAATATCGATGGACAATGCAGGGATGGGCATTGCTTACAGTACGGGATGTATTTTTGAAGCACAAGAGCTGGGAAGCGATATGTTTTGATGGAAACATGGTACATTCGGATGTTGCGTTGTAACACTTGCTGAACAATTGTTCACATCTGCACTGCATCCTTTTGATGGTGTAAACCATGGTAAACCCATCAGAAACCATACCCAAAGCATGGGATCAACATTACCTATTTGACCGTATTGATCGGTTATGTTTTGAAGGTGGCAAAGAGAGTTGAGAGATCACAATCTGCTTGGAATGTCCGCTTGCGTCTAAATACGAAACCAGCAACCAATTCAGGTGGGATTCGGTGAATTCGCACTATCTGGGAGTTATCATTGTTCGGTTTTGCAATCAACAATTTGGATTCCTGTAGTGGTAGATCATTTGCATGAAACCGATGAGGTGCCTATCTTCATTAGTCCCTTCCTTCAGAGGTTAGGCTCGAGGTTCTTCACCCAATCTCCCCCAAACATCCAGAAATCCCATAGCCCAGGAGTGTCCATGGCTCCCAGGCGTGCTAGGGCGGCTAGGGCGGCTCAAACTGACGAAAGTTGATGCGAAATTCTACCCGGTATTGACATTACTCTAGTGGCTCGAAATAGCACTTGGTCACCTGGCAAACCAGATTTTGAAACCATGACGCAATTGTAGTCAGTGACAGTGACTGTTGGTGCGGAGGTATCATGACGTCAAGGACTACATTACAAACAGTGAAAGCACTGTGCATAGACCATTTCTTAGAATCTATGCTTGGAAGGGTTCAGGTGTGAGCACGGTGAAGCAACTTCGGTTGAGTGCGATTTGGAAGAGAACTGTCAGAATCCACAACAAGCAGGACTTAGAGCTACTTCCACTAACATCCACTCTAGAATTTTGGAGGGTGTTGTACGGTGGTACCCGTGAAGAGACATTGGAGATACCCTCCGGTAATTTCACATAACTATGGAAAATCACAATTTTTAATGGGAAAATCCACTATTTCTATGGCCATTTTCAATAGCTATTTTGACATAACCAGAGGGTAGTTGAAAAGCTTTGAGGGGCATTCAGAGATGGTTGGGTTCAGCAGCCCGTGGCTTTAAAAAAGCTCCACATCGAGGGACCGGTGCCCCTGATCCAAAGAGCGAGAGCGCCAAGCGCCCTTTGGAATCAGCGCCGTCGTTTTTGGAAAAGTAAGACGCTGTGGACATCATCATTCACCAATAATAATAATAATTTTGTTCCATATGTAGCCTCTTTATAGCCTCAACTCTGTTGGAGGGTCCCTAGAGGGTCCGTAGGATGGCTTTTCCATGTAACAGATCACGTAACAGATCACTTAACAGATCATGTAACAGATTAGGGGTTCCCAAAGGAAAATTTGGGAAAATTTAACATGGATCCTATAAAGAGGCTACCAGTATAAGTATATATTTTTAAGAATCCCTGGGTCCGCAGGAGTGGTCCCTGGCCTAGCCTCAGTTTAACAGTTAGAAAGGTTTGTATCTATGATGCCCTTGGCCTCTTTAATGCCATCATATAATTTCAATTGCACATGGGTTTGTCTACTAGTACAAACTTTTGAAACCATGCATGCCAACTTACTATACCCATGTTTCATTTCTATTCCAGTTTTTGTTTCAAGTGCAAATGCATAAGATATAAGTGACGATATCAAGATGCACGTTAAAATTCAAATGAATCAGAATCATATTGTATATGATTTCTCTTAACCCCAAAGTCTGTTGGGAAGGTCCTTACCCATTCGCTGGGGACGTGACAAGCCATTCAATAATTCATGTAACAGGCCGAGGTTGATTTGGGTCGAACTGGAGTCAGATTCTCGCACATCTTTGGGCATATCATGTGTAAGCATATTTATAGATATTCTACGTAACGTCTCCTCAATTTGTGATAGTGAATGTTGTGTCATTCAAGTTAATTATCCTTTATTTAGATGCGTGCGCGCAATCGTTCTTGTTCAAAGTCGCTAGTGGCACGTTGCCTTTGGGTCTTGTGCCTCCAAAGATACGTAGATGTATCAGTTCATGATACTTCACATCACTAACCACAGTGGGAAAACGATGGGCCAGTCAATTACACATTTGATGATGTTATTTTTAGTAAAAAGACAATTAAGCATTCTGCCACCAGTTGAAAACGGCCGATACTTTACGAGCTGGCTACGAAAGCATCTAGCTTGTCATGTGGGATGTAAAAAGAATAGTGGCACAAGGATGTTTACCGGTAACCACATGAATTTCAAGGCAGCATGATAAGCTGCCAAGTAATCATGAAGTCCAGATTGGTCTGAAGTTTTATTGTTTATCCAGGAAACCTCACCTCAGAAAGGTTGTCTGCAAGAAAAACATGTTCGCTGAAAGGGTGCTTCCAATGCGGGTTTGGTAGCACAACAACCGTTCAACATTTAAACACGAATTATTCAAATTTGAAGTAGAGCGTTTGGGGACATACCATCGCATACACCGTTTCCATTCATTTCTTTCCTAATTACATGTGTTAAAGAAAGGCCTCATTTGTGGAGCGCGTATGAACCAAGGAACGCAACCAGGGTCAAGTGTATCAACTAATGAAATCAGGACACAGGTAGGGTAGCGAAACACAAAGGAGATGCAGTAGTTGTTCTTCCTTCTTTAAGGTTGGTCTGGAACAAGAGTTAGTTATTCTATTCCATTTGTTTCTTTCTGCTTTCTCGTTTCAGTTTACGCAATCTGCCTTGTTCAAAATGTGCAATGAACCAGATTCATGCTGGATTTTTGCTGCCTTAAAGCCATTTCCCGACACTGTTCAAAACTTGCAGCGTGCCAAGGCAAACATATAATGTGTTCAGGGCTGATTGCCAGAGATATCAAAACATGAAAATTGAACACGAACCTCTTCACACGTGGGTGCAGCAAGAAATGTTTGGGCAGCTGACATGGATCTGTCAAGTTTGTTGCCATGTCAGTAGGGACCCAAGTCATGTTGCTTTACGCGAGAAATGCCCAAGTTTTATGGTTGGCCTTTGCTTTTCTCTTTCCTTTTGACACGGCTCTCGAACCCTATCTTGGCATCCCAGAACGGTTCAGAACGGTTCTTGCGAGCAATTTGCATGCCAAGAACGGTTCAGAACGGTTCTCTGTCATGGCTCGTTATATGCTATCGATACTTATCGATAGCTGTCGTACTGTCTTTGTTGTTTTAGCTCCTGTTTTGCCGCACAATGTTGTTGATGTTGAGCTGCTAGTTCCTGACGTGCGCTTGCTGAGGTCCTGCAGCTTAAAGCATGTTTGAATATTTCTGTGTGTCGTTCCGGGTTCTTTGTTTTCTACGTCGCAAAAATCACCAAAAGCCGACGATGTGATGTGCTGTAATTAGCTTGTGTGAAGATGCAACTTCAACACAAAATTCAAACGGATTTTGTTGGTCTAGAAAATTCAGTCCAACCTTTTGCTTTCATCAGTAGAATGACAAATGATATCTCACAACTACAAACGGTTCTTGAAGCAAAGCACCAAACCAGCCATCGCAAGAACCGTTCTGAACCGTTCTTGCCAGCCTGGACGGTCGGAACAAGATAGTTCAGGAACCGTTCTGAACCGTTCTCACTTTTTCGGCTACCAAGAACCGTTCTGAACCGTTCTCAAACATGTCAAATAAATGGCTGGGAACCGTTCTGAACCGTTCTTTGGGTGCTGAAAACACGCCATAGATAGTGGCATAGACAATATCTAGTTTGCTGAAATGTAGATACATAAATATATGAGTATATGAATATAACAATATATGAATATAATATAATATTATATATAAAATGTAACATATATATATAATAGTATATATTTATATATAAATATATCGCTTGACAGTTAAGGATGAGAAACAGTATAGTGGTTGGCCAAGAACAGCCGTTGTCAAGAAATACCGGTACAAAACACCACAAGATTTCCACTTGCAACTGACGTGTAATTCACGATCTCTGTGTATAGATATATCCATATATATATATATAGATATATCCATATATATATATAGATATATCCATATATATATATATATATATATGTTCTATTTGTCTTATATTATATATATTTTTTTTGCATATCATATTATATCATGTCATACCATTTCATGTTAAA